TCATACTTATGATTTAATTTAATTTATTTACAAACAAATCCATGTGTGGACACTGCGAGCATAAAAATATGTTGAAACTGTAGTTGGTCAGAGATTTCAGCTGTCCTTTTTATATATTTATATCACACAGCAAAAAAGAATGTGTCCCAGACTACTTCCAAATATGGTTTGAGTGACTGAATCTCAGAAAACATTCTGAACGCATTTGGGCACGTTCACACATGTACTTAGCGCAGACCAGTTGTGATTGGGTCACTCAGGATGGACGTTAATACCAGACCTGAACGGGGTCACAGATCCGGCTGGTTGGAAAAGCTACAAGCGGCAAGTCTAGAGTGAACAATGAAGTACCCTGGACCACGTCTTGAGAAACACCAACATTCAACATCTGTTTCAAATTCTGTCTCAACATCAATGAATAAATAATCAATTAATAAGAAAATATATAGTGGATCGGCATACTTTACAAAAGTTTAAAGGTTGCAAAGCAAATCAGAGTAAGAGTCATCCCTTTTAAGTGACATAAAGGTGATTATAAAACTGATGTGTTGTTCTAGAGCAAAAATTGTAACAAAAATAAACAAAACTATATGATGGACAAACATATGAAGTAAATATGAATTATTGTTGCTGTGGTGGGGAGAAATGGCTCATTCCTATTATGTGTCTGTGAATGTAATGGCACATGCAGTTATTTCTGCTAGTATCAGCTGGTAATGCGTCAACAGTCGAGAGAGTTTTGTCATTAGATCCTTAGGGATTGGAACGCAGTACCAGAATGAAAATTCACAGGCAAACAGCCATGAAAGCTATGCAATAATGCATGCATGCGTAACTCTAAAGCTGAGCTGGCTGTGGATTATTTTATTGACATTATGATGCTGTCTGTGGTTAAAAATAGATGTAGAGAAAGAAGAGAGTGATCCAAAGGAAGCGAGAGCAGGAAGCAAGAAACAAAGCAGAATAGGGGAAGCCAATAGGGAAAGCCATCTCCGCACACAACACACGACAGAAAAGAAAACCCATCTCTGTATGCAGCACAAGCAAAAACCATGCAACAATTTATGAAACTGAGTGAAGGGTGGAGTAAAAATGATAATAATGGATGAGTACTTACTCTGCAATGCTCTGAACCGAGATATTTCCCCCCCATCCTCCTTACCCACAGCCCTCATTTGCTTGCTGATGGCTTGGCAGATTTCTTTGCCAGCTGCAATTTGTGCCTTCTCTCCAAGTAAACCTCCAAGGGTGGCACGAAGCATGAAGGAGACACAGCGGCGGGAGTACACCGCCTCGACGTGTGTCTGAGTGGCCCGCGGGTGGGACACTAGGTCCAAAACATGGGACAGGAATGTGGCAAAGTTACGCTCCAGCCACTGGCCACCAAGTGTGGTCACAAACACAACGTAGGCCTGAGGAGAATAAAGAAAGATTACATGTGGTGGTTCAATCAGACAATGCAGCCTCTAATTATTCTTGAGGATTCAACTCACCTGTGTGATGCCCACCCGCACCTCCCTGCTGACAGAGCCTCCCCCCTTCAACATCTCCCCGCCACTCTTTAGGAAGCCAGATCCACCACGCAGAAATCCAGTGGCCATGAGCTCCAGCACCTCCTCAAGAGTAGCTCGCTTCACATTCTGTCGCATCACTGAGGAAAAGAGGATTAAGACCGTGAAGAATAAAAGTGGTGAGCAAGTCTACTTAACTTGAACCTCTCAGAAACTCTTTTAACCTACCAGCTGCTTGTTTGGGCATCAATGCAGTAGCCATGACTGTCCCCAGCAGTTTGGCCACTGCGACCCGGACGCCATAGTTGGATCCTTCCAGGGCCTTGAAACACAAGGTGGCCAAGTTCTCCAGTTCTGTGGTCCACATGAAGACTGCCTCATTCTGCAGCTCCAAAAGGCACTGATCAGAGGAGCAGAATAAAGATGGGAGACATTTTAGTGACATTTGTATTATGTACTTTATGTGAAGAAAACATCTGCTGTGTTTGTCAATTTAAGAGCAAATGATTCATTTTACATCATGTGCGTATAAAAACTATAAAGATTATCAGTTCACAAAGTATGTATAAATACATGCAATTGGTGTCATATTTACTAAAGAGGAAATTGTCTTTGCGCAACACATCTGGCTTTGGTCGACATAAATGACGAAGCAAAAACAGAAGTGAATAGTACTTTTGTACTCCTAATGGCATTTGCTTTACAAATCTACTACGGGGAAAAACCTTAAAAGATTGCCCAAACATTGAACACTGGTCTCTACTTGTTTGTGCTGAACCGCCAAGTACAGCTTTAAAAGTTATAAAGAAGCTACAGGTGTTTTTAAACCACGTTGTTTTTAGGGGGATGAGCTCTGAACATTACACTGTATGATGTTTCCGGGCTTTGTAAGAATCCTCCACCATTGCAAGGGAACTTTACAATCATTCAGCAGGATGACACACAACAAAAACCCTACCTACGAAATCTAATATACATTTCTTAAATTATTTACAAATCCCCTGAAACATTTTTCTTAGACCAACCTTTGCTACAGCACAGCGTACGGCCATGGACCTGTCTGTGAGTAGAGAGCGGGCATTCTTGTAGATGTCTCTGTGACATGAAGCTGCAGCCCCACCCAGCCCACCTAGCACCTTCTGCAGGCTCAAGAGGATCTCTCCTCTGCCTTGGGACTAGAACAACAAAATAAAGGAAACGTAAAGGAGAATAATCAAAGAGATGTCACATCACTTTTAGAATTTGTTACCCATTACTTTTCCAATAGTCCAATATACCATTTGACCAAATACATATCTGCAATAAAAGATAATGGAGAACTGCATTCCACTTCAATTTCCCTATTTTAACTGCTTGAAGTCTCACCTCTGCACTCTTTAATGCCTTCAAAAGATTATTAATTGTGTCTGGAAAGGAGCTTCCCAGCATCCTCCCCATCTTCTCATAAAAAGCTCCAACACATGCCACTGCAGCACTACAAGAAAAGATTCAGTATATATTAAAATCCTCACAGATCACTTCTAACTATTGGTTAAACAATGTAATGAAATAATCAGATGAGATTTCAGAATCCCATGCACCTATACTAAAACACTGCAGAGGTACCACAGTAGCTTAGGGGTTAGTTAGGAAGCCTTGACCCTACATCTACAGCTGTAACCAGCAGGTACAGATGAATAATGAATGAAACATGTAGGACAACACTGATGCATCATTAACCACTGAAACACAGCATACTGCTCATATGCATTGAATCCCCTCTTTAAACATGTCATTCTGCAGATTAACATTTGGCTTAACCCTAATACCCTTGGAGATTATCTGATAGTATTGTATGCCTGAAGCTCTAAAAGCAGCACTGAACAGATTATATCTAAATGCAAACATCTCAAATATACACACTGGCTGTATTTTAAAAAATGACCAATGGAAAAAACAAACACACAGCTAAAATTAAATAGAATCTTACAGTTTTGTTGGCAAGTATGCAGGTGTGTCATCTTTGCTTTTAATGATTTCATTGCATTTATCCAGAGTCTGGAAAACAGTGAACGTGTCACCGATGCTGTAGAGGGTGGCGAGATTTTTGGCCAGTAGTTTTCTTGTTGGTGGTCCTGGAGCACTGCTGATCAGCCCTGTCAGCTGTTCCACCAGCTTCTTCTGCTTCTCCTTCACATCCACCTACCAGCGAAACACACACAATGAAGTCACACAGTGCTTCTGATTAGACTTGCTCAGGAAAAAATAGGCAAAAAATTAAAATCTGTGTGGTCACCTTATTTGCAGCCACCAGCACTTTATCCAAGAAGCGAAGCCATTCAAAGATGAAGACAGGCCTCTTTGCTTCAGTGATCTGGGCCAGGGCATCTTCATTGAGCAGCAGACTGTGAGCTAGCTCCATGGTGAGGACCTGACGACACAGCGCTGTACTCTCCCGCCTCTGCAATGTTATATTAGAGGATGTGCCTTGTCAGTGCATGTCTCTAACATTCTCCATTATTACAGACAGTACATGTCTCTATTATTCTCCATTATTGGAGATAGTACATGTCTGATATCTCCATTATTAGAGACAGTTCATGTTTCAATTATTCTTSATTACTGGAGATAATACATGTTTCTATTATTTTCCATTATTAGAGACAGTACATGTCTCTTATATCTCCATTATTAGAGACAGTTCATGTTTCAATTATTCTTCATTACTGGAGATAATACATGTTTCTATTATTCTCCATTATTAGAGACAGTACATGTCTCTTACATCTCCATTATTATTCTCCATTATTAGAGACAGTACATGTCTCTTATATCTCCATATTAGAGTCAGTACATGTTTCTATTAATTCCCATTATGTTCCATTATTAGATGTCTCTTATATCCTCCATTAAATACATGCACAACCTTTGTTATAATACTATCGATAAAAACTATGCTGCAATATTAATCGACACTGTTTTATTGCCCTACTCCCTCCCTCACATTAGCTACAACCTATAAAGCATCACAACAGCTCTAGCTTTACTAAAGATCTGTGGACATTTGACGTCCTTGCAATGATTTCATCAGGTTTGAAGCAGACACACAAGTCAATACGAAGGGACAGCAGCTGTCCGTGGTGTAGATGGTTATTCCTCGTATAAAATGTAGCTTTGACAGTTATAAAGCTGAGAAGCTGCGTTGACAGCTGCCTCCCTCCAGCTGTTGACAGGCGAGCTAGTTAGCATGCTAAGCTAGCTTCCTCCTACGAAGAAGAAGAAGCGAAACTCCGGAGACACATTCTCAGACAAACAGAGGGTCCGCTGGCTAACGCCACATCTCAACACGTTCAAATGTTCAGAAACAACACAGCAACAACACCTTCCTAAAAGACGGGACACACAAAAGCAAACTGTTCATCCTACCTGTGCTTCGACAACCCAGGATGAATGACGACGAGTGTCGGTGGTGTCGCATTTGAGTGACTCCGATGAGAAACGAGTTAAATGACACGCACAGAATGCAGATCTAAAACGACATAAATGCTGTTAAATGACGTCCCATCGTTTCCAGTTGTCTGTGCGCATTTAAAATGGATTTAATCTCGTGGAATATTTCCCGGAACCCTAGACCCTTGGTTTACCTTGTAGCTAGTCGGAGCGTAACTGTGAACGAACCAAACATCAGTGGAGGAAACAAGTGCGCGACTGGAGAGTTCAATTTGTTGCTGTAGTTTTCTACATTTGTTTTCTTTCGTTGTGGGGATAATGTCAGACGAGGAAGAAGATTATATGTCCGATGCCTTTCTCAGTAAAATGTAAGTCTGTTTTCTGTTCAGAGTCAAAACCAAAACTATAGCGACAGAGAAAAGGGCTAAGGAAATGAGTTAAAACCGAGAGAATGGATGGACTGAAAGAGGTGTAGCACCCAGAACAGCTGTCTTCTTTATTTTGTTCTGTATGACTGTATAGCTATTAATAAAGACTCAAGTATAAAAACCTAGGTAGTAAACTATGCATAGAAGATGTCGTTATCAACCCTTATGTCAGTGAAGTGTAATTGAGACTTGATATTTTACAGATTAAGCATTAGCTCTATTATAAATGACAATAAATAGGATTAAAGCAAATACAACCAATTATGTATAACCTGAATAATAAAACATACATATTTTTTACTTCAAATGTAAAAACAAAGCACATCTTCTCATCTCCATTCTGCAAAATAAAAGTATTCATACCGGCGCATAGTGGCATAGATGCCAATGCCAATTTGTTTGTAAAAGACTAATAAATCAGTCTTTCATTTGAAAATATCTATCAACTATGTTCCTGTGTCTGTCAGACAAGATGTGAAACCAGGAGTCAGCATGGTGAAGCGTGTAAAAGAAGCCATAAAGAGGGAGACGCAGCAAAAGGAGAAGAACATCAAGAACCGTCAGAAGACTTACAAGGAGCAGGAAAAGGAAAGCCGGGAAGCAGCGTTAGAGAGCTCCATAAGCAACGAGAACAAGGGATTTGCACTTCTGCAGAAAATGGGTTACAAAGCTGGTCAAGGCCTCGGGAAGAAGGGCAAGTTTCTGCCTTACTGATTTTCCTTATTGATCATATTTTGCATTTATTGTGGGTAATAATGTTAACAATCTGTGTTACCTCTTCAGGAGCAGGGAGGGTTGATCCTATTCCTCTTAACATCAAAACTGGTAAGAAATATCTATCTATTTTTTTAATTTTAAGTGCATTTGGCAATTACATCCAATCCAAACACTGACTCCCCATGCCCTTTCCTGTGTATCTGAATCAGACAGAGGTGGTATCGGAATGGAAGAGGCGAAGAAAAGAAAGGCAGAGGAGGAACTTGAACACTATCGACAGAAAGTACGAGTCAAGCAACAGAATGAGACTAAATCTCTGGAAGATTTTAGGTGAAGTCCGCAGCTGTGTGTGAAATGCACTGTGCCAAATGTATCATAGCCTCTGTGTGTAATCTTAAGCTTTTTCCATTCCAGGTCAAGAGTAAGGACGGAGAGAGAAGAGCGTAAGATTGAGGGAGATCTCAGAAAGAGTCAGAGAGCCTGTGAGCAGCTCGACAGTCAGAAGGTTGGAATAATTGTTTCAACAGCAGAAGCTCATCACAGAGCTCTGCAATCAGAATTAACAAAAACATGCCAGGAAAATGACTGGATTTAAACAGAATTGATATCACAAAAGAGAGAGCTAGATCTTAGCGTTTCTGCAAATTTCCTTTTCATTACAGGGCATCACTGTCCCCAGAGAAGACTGGTACTGGCCAAAACCAGATGCTGATGACGAGGAAGATGCTGATGAGGAGGAGGAAGAGGAGGAGAAGGAGGAGGAGGAGGAGATTGTGGAATTAACTGTTAGTATTCACTTTAGTTTGTTTTTAAGTTCATACTATATTTCTGCCAGACTATTATATAGTATTACCCTTGCAAGTATGACATAGAAATATTCATATTTAATTTACATCGTTTAGATATGAATTTGTAATTATCTTAGGGACAGCAATTATTGATTGTGTGTGATATTGAAATATATTTGATGTGTTTATCTCTATTACAGTCATTTGACAAACTGCAAATTTTGACTTCCTATTTGAGAGGAGTCCATTTTTACTGCATATGGTGTGGGACAACCTATAATGGTGAGAATTCTGGCAACATGGCTGTAGTTGTATTTCTTTTTCATATATACCTCTTAACATAATTATATTTGTGTCCTTTTTTGCAGATGAAGATGACTTATGCTCTAATTGTCCTGGGGATACAGCAGCAGACCACGAATAAACCAGATACAAATATGCAGTGATTCTGAAAATGCAAATACAAACATTTGTGTAAGGGATTGCAGGCAGCAGCTTACATTATGAAAACATCATTAGGGTATTATTAGCTTCTGAGGCAGTAGAACTGGTTAAAGATTTACTCATCATCCCATTTTGATTTGTTGACCATCAATGGAATAACATCACTGTTTGTGCTGTTTGTGAGTGGACATTGTTATTCAGTTTTTTTGTCTTTACCTTTAGAAATTCTCTGGGAAATTCATGATAGCTTTTTTCCAATATTTATTTTTTGATAATATGTACTGTATTTTCATTAAATGTTTTTAGACTTCTACCCTGTCATTTTATTTACTTGTACCTCCTAACTCTCGGTGATGTGTGATGTGATGTGTCTTATAACGAGTCTTACAAATTAAGTTATTATATCTACATGGTCCTCAGTTAACCTTAGATTTCAATATCACTTTTCTTCTCATCAAAAAATGTTGCACTTAACTAATGTGTACCTATGATATGGGGTTT